GCACCATCAGAGAAGCAACAGAGACTTGGGTAGTATCTTGCATCATGTTCTACACAATGACATGATCATGCTCTTCTTGTTGCTACTTCAATTGCTCTTGGAGGTTGGGAGTCATTGGAGGAGTGAATCCTGGAGGGTGAGAAGGTCCTTGACTAGATACTACTTGGTGGTTTTGTATCTCCAGTTTGTTCATCAGGAAGGCAATCTAGAGATCCTTCTCAGCATTAGAGCTCTTAAGGTTGTCAATGACTTCGGCCATCTTCTAGAGTCATTCTTCCATCGTCACGACTTCTGTCATCATTACTAGTACAATGCCACTAGAAGCAGAGTAGGAGTTAGATGATGGAGAGAAGTATGACTCCGCCCTCGACCCAATGCTGGATTAATCATCTGAGAGGAAGTGTTTTTTTCCATTCACATCAATGTGTGGAGAGTTGAAGGGGCTTTCCTTTTGTAGAGTAGTTGCCTTGGTGATTTTCCGTGTAGGAAGCTCCACTGGAGACGTTAGCTGCGCTTTGTTGGATTTTGCCATGGCATGTGTGATAGGACGATTGTAGGAAGAACCGAAAGCGCCAGAAGACTTGTGGAAGGAAGTTGCAGCCTTCTTGGTAGCCATTGGATGAATATTGCAGTTGTCAACTCAAAAGATAAGAGGAAGAGAGCGTCCCACCGGGCATGCCAGAAATTTGTCGAAACAAATTGTGTATTTAAATTATCACAAAATATGGAGACAAATTATAAAAATAAAATTGTAATAAAAAAAAACAAACAAGGGAATGAACTCTCTTTGATTTCTGCTCGATGACATGAACAACCTTTGATTAACAGTTGAATTTGGTTAAGACGAGGGCCATTGGTGTGTTTCTCGTACTTTTTGAAGTGTTGTCATAGATTTCCTTGATTTTGGTGCTTTGGGAGATTTGGTGTAGATTTCTTCACTCTGGGCTTCACGCTTGATTGGCTGTGAAGTATGCTTCCCTAAGAAGGGCCCTTTTATGGTGGCTTGATCTTCTTGGGAGAACTTGAATCCAAGTGTGTTGTAGAGAATGAAGAAGTTTTTCCCTTCTTTCTTCTCTCTTGATCTTGTAGTTGCTGGAGTTTGCAGGAGCTTGTGGTCGCTTGCAATCTTCAGTGTTGGTGTCTAAGAGCTTCTTGTAGTGTGATTCTCCAAAAAAAAAGAACCCTCTTTCTTCCTAAGCAAGGCTATTTATAGCCAAGGATTACGGTTGCCACCTCAGCCCACTTAGCTAACCAATCTATGTGAGTGGGGTGCTGGGTTAGGGTTAACTCCCATGCATGCACCATTATGTAGGAGTTAGTGGTGTTGCCAATAGGATCACCCTATTACAATAGGAGATGGGCCAGATTGGACTTAATACACTTAAATCCTTAGGCCACCAAGACATATTTATGTAGACTTGGGCCTTGAGCCCATGGAGGCCCATGTTAATTAAAAGGCTGTCATGTAAATTAAACCCATTTATTTGGCTTAAAAATTCACATGTCTACAGTATAGATAGATTAATATATACATAAATAATAAAATATAATAATTGGGACAAATAGACTACAATCCGCCTCAGAAATCTGAAATTACCGCCCCCCTCCTAGTCTACTAGTAGCCCCCCCTATAAACCGCATCCTGTACGTGTTATAAATTGTCACAAAAACCCTTATTCAATTTTTATAAACCATATAGTCTTATACTCAACTATTGCAAACTCATAATCATTACAATCTAATATTCAACCGGTACAAACTGCTACAAACCCATATTCAACAGTAACAAATCTCTTATGAACCCATAAACTGTTATAGACCCCTACAAATCCATACTCATAGTTACAAACCTGTACTCAAAATTGTTATAAAACATATTTATAGGGTGATGTTCCTATTTCCTAATACATGGCAAATTGGCAATAGTATCTTGTGGATATGCATGTGGGAAGAGTTTGTGAGTAGGAGATCTAAGTGGGGGTCCCCAAGGCCCAAACACATTACCCCCCAACCCTTGTACACACAGGATATGATCCCAAATGCCCACTACGACCACCTAGACCTTACCAACTAGCCAGTTGGCACCTTGCATAAATTCCACCAAATTGCTTCAACAAAATTATGAAAGTCCTGGTGAAGATGATTCTAAGTATGTGTGACTCTTCTGATTCGATTGAGCCATTTTGGTCTTGTAGATTCTATTGACAGCAGCTAAAAACAAAACTTGATTAGTTGGTAATTTGGTATTCATTCCGATGTTCAAGCAAATTACGTAATTTAACAACTTTTACAAGGTCTTCATGTGGTTTATAAAGTAATTATAAAATTAAATCATTATCTACTACAGTGTTTTCAACCTGCGACCAGATGGGTCGACCTGGCATCCGTTGGGTCTGTTTCACTACCAACCTGTTTACCTGTAAAAAATTGTCTACTAGTTCAATGACTCACTGCACTGGCCGGTTGAACCACTGAATTAATTGATCCAGTTAGTGGTTTATGGGTTTAATATTAATTTTTTTTTCTGTATTGTGCATTAATAAAAATGATTTTTATTTATTAAAATTATTTTTTAATATGATAAATATATAATATTAGAGATATCAAAAATAATAAATTTGACCCAAATGGTTGAACCGCTGAGAGAAAGGAATTTAGACACCTCCAATTTTCATAAATATGGATAGTAATCCCCCTAATCATCTATATTATAAAGCGGATATTTGCCTTGAATTCTGTAAAGGTTATGAAAGTTTAATCCATCCAATTATCATATAACACTTGCATATGTACCTGATATGTGCTCTTATACTAGTTATTCAAAAGGTTATGTGTTTCAAAAGACATGAAATGGCCCAAAGCCAATTCCTTCTTGTGCTCTCACTAGCCCATCTCGTCTTTGTAATAGACTGGCCCATGGACTTTGCCCATTTTGCCTTTGGACACAGTCGATCCATGACCTGGTCACACGTCCGTCCCTGACTTCTTGAGGTCATTGATATCAGAAGAGATGTAACTTAGTCAAATTAGCAACTCGTAAGCTCTATCACCAGATAACCATTTACAATTTTATAGTGATATAGGCCATCACAAGACAAATGATCTGTGTCATTATCACTTTCCATTTTCTCAAGACAGTCCATAGCTAGAAGGTAGGTTGATGAATTAGATCCGGCATGGAGACAGTCATGATCTGCTCAACGCAATTAATGGGGGTTATTCAACAGGCTGTTTGGATATGCCATGTGAAACGAAATGATTTCCTTCTTTTACTTTACTGGATTGGGTGTTCACTATGGCCCATTTGTGGTTTGAATAATGTCTTTTCGGGTCTCCGAGGGGAGAAATGAATCGTTTTCAATTTTTTTTTTCTTTGACACCCTTTAGAATGTCCATTTCAAGTACACAAGTGTTTGTTCAAACACTGTGCAAAAGCTAAACTAAAAATATCCCAGTTCGTGTTGGTGGTCATATAGATGTTTGACAAAATGTCTGAACTTGTTGAGAACAGCAACAGAGAAAAGCATTGCACGCCAATGATTCATTAATAGATCTGTTCCTCTGTCCTCAGATTTAACAGCACTTACCAACTCTTGATTTTCTTGAAAAGTTTTTTGTTTGTTTAAACAACAAAATGCCAAGGCAGTTTCATCTTAGGAATATATATATATATATATATATCAAGTATAAGGAGTTTGGAAGATGCGTGGAATCAATCATTCTTGGTTTTTGTCTAGTGTGGCAAAGCAAAGCTAGCCTGGTGCCTGGAATAGGAGGATTCTTAGCGCAAGCTCCGCGCCATATATGAGAACATCCACCACTTCTTAGTGGGTGATTACTACCTCAAAACAAAAACAGCAGCAATCTAGTTATTTGATAGTTGAGACCTAAACATAAATGGAGGGACATGCCTAAGTAAAAAGACAAAATAGCTTTAATGTAGTATCATAAATAACTGCAGAGTATTTTGTTGTTTTCGGGGAGTAATCTTTGGGCGATTAGTTAAAAGGGTGAATCCCAGATTACTTCCTCCAAATGATTTCGAATTGGTTGATCGGTGAACAAAATTAAGGGGAATGCACTGATCTTGCACAGCAACAGGGTAGATGTTCCTGGTAGAAGTTGCTACTACCCCAATATAGAATTCTGACCAAAGCCAAAGGTCAGGCAGGTTGAAACTTGAAACTGGAAAAGTAGAATGGTACAAACGAGCTCAACAGGTAACCTGGCATTGGCCCAACGCCCCCCATTCTCCCAATAATCCTCCTCTCCCAAACATCCTTCCTTCCTTTCCCCGGCCCAGAAAAAGAAAGAAATAACCCCAAATAAAGGGTCTAAGTGCTATGCGGATTCCCTATAAGGCGTCAAGTAAAAAAAAAATTCCCAGAGCGCAAGGGATAAGAGGCAAGCCCAATAGAGGTGGCTACAACTTGAGTATTTTACAAGCTATTGAAGTTCGTCTATTTGGTTCAGTCTAAATCGAAATTGAATTTTAAGCTAGGTTCGAGCCCAATAAAATTTAACTTGTGAGGCTTGAGAGCTTAATCGAGTTTTTTCATACACACACATAATATTAACTAGTTTTTATAATTCTTAATTTTTGTTTTTATAAAACATTTGGCTCACAGCCAAACTCGAGCCAAATCAATCTCAAACTTACAAGCTTTTGACTTGAACCAAATTCAAATTCATCTCTAACTTGAATTGAGCTCAAGCTCGAACTCAAGCTCAAACCTCATAATTTATTGGCAAACCAAGCTTGGATAACCAAACATCTCGAATCCACCCCTAACGACAAGGTTAACAGTGAAGAGCAATCAATGCTGTATAATAATTATCCTACGATAACAACATAAAACCACTTTATAGAGATTATAATAGCCATTCTAACTTATAATAAGGGTAACTGAATGGATTGGATAACTTTTGATGCACTGTATGGGCATAGACTCAATCAAAATAGAGAAACAGAAATGTAATTTTTTTCTATGTAAAGAAAAGAAAAAAAAAAGAATCCTTTGAATTCCAAGATCTTTTTTCTCATACTCTTTGACTCTACAATTTCCCATTACACTAATCCTTGGGATTCTTCTAAATCCATTGTGTGGTTTTTTCTTTTAGGAGCCTTTCTATTCATTCTTCCTGGCTCTCTGACTCTACGTCTCCCACATCCAGAAAACACGAAAACATGGAAGCAAGGGACGAAAATTCCCAAATATTACAATCCTCACCATATATCTGACTATACACAAAAAAAAAAAAAAACTACCATTTTTTTGGACAGCTTAAGCTTGGTTAGAATATGGGGGCCCTATCATGTGATATGACCAAGTCACCCAGGCTCTGGCCCATTTCTTCAGGCTTGAATTGAAGTGCCTTTATATTCGAACCGGTAGTCCAAAATTCTGGAATGTTTTAATTTCCCCTCTATGTCCTGCGGTCACAATAACCATACGCCAAGCTGTTCTACCTTGCATAACACCATTAGAGAAATCGGAGCTGCCATGAGGGCTCAGGTTTTTGGTTGCCAAAAGCAGCTTTTCTTCCGGCCATGTTGCTGATATCCTATCAAAGAAATAACTGCTGTTTGAACTAGAAATGATACTATGCAGTGGACTGTTGGTGTACCCATGTGTAGATGATAAACCCTCATTCCCATTAGCCTCCTTGACTGGTGATGGTGGATGGTTAGCTGCAGGAACCTCATCCAGATTATCAATACCATCCTGTTCTCCACCATAAGTATCTTGCAATTCACCGGGGCTTTCCATGCCAGGCCAAGGAATGGCCATAGATACATCCTGACAGTGGAAATGCTCATAGCAGCGTGAGACTGTGACACCACCTTTGCTTCGACTTGGTCGGGATCCGGTTTCATGTTTCCACACATACACAGAAGAGTCCTCACTGGCACATACCACATAATTCCCATCTGCTGTCAATGAGGCTGAAATTTGACTGCTTGTATTGCGAAACCCTGACCAACCAATAACACAAAATAAGCAACATTTTGCAATAATCAGACATGAGATCTTAATTTGATGGTGAAAATTAATGAACTCTGTACTGAAAATGTAAGAAAATGACTCCGTAAAGCAGTGTTGCATGAACTCTTCTATGTGGAAGAAGTGTCTGTGCTGTGACACAGACAAATTCTGGCACTACATGAATTGTCAAAAAATATTACATAAAATTCCCGTCTCTTTGTTCATGACATAAATGAACATCTAGTGTAAATAATAACTATCATTTTTCCATATAAAATGTTCCTAGTTAACAGAATACGTTTTTGATTTACTATGTCCTTTCCTGGATATGCCTCAAAATCCACATCTTTTCTTTCTCAATCAGATTCCTAGACACACCTAGAGGCATTTCCTGTAGAACAATTCCCAAACCATCGCACCATCTACAAGTCATAATTCTGGTGGTCTGATGAGCAAAACATTTGGATGTTTTATATAAGAATGGTTGAAATCTGATATTTACTATTTTATTATTGAACTGCAGTTAATAATAAATTCAAAACCTGATCAATAAACAAAGAGACATCCCCTTAAAGGCAATAATCCAAACCAAACTGAGGCTTGGGGGAATCACAAAGTCTTTATATCTATCTATCTATATAACTCAATAAAATTAAGAAAAAAAAACAGCATGACAAAATGAGGCAAATATTAGCCAGTAAAGAACTGAGAGGAAAATATCATTGCTGTTCACAACATTTTAATATGTCAACAGATAAAATGTTGGCCTTAAGTTAAAACCCTAACTTGATTGAGTAGTGTTGATAACTTGATATGATGAGAAAAATGAATTAGTTAAACTCAGGCTTCACATCAAGTATACTAGAATTTGAACCTACTGCAGTTCACTGAACCAAAATTTCAGGTCAACGAATATTTCCCCATGCATGGAACAGGCGCTCAAAATAATAAATGTAAAACAAACAGATGCTGGCTTCTACTAGTTCCTCTAACGTTAAAGAAGAGTCAAGTAGAATCTATGCCATGCATGAAACAACGCATTCAAGAGAGCTAAAAACATTGGTAAAACAGAGCTTGAGTTCCATACCTTTGAATTTGTGAACCAACTCCTTATCCTCAACAACCCGTATTCGTGAATCTGCAGATGTAATAAGCACTTCTGAGGAACTCCCTGGGACAAACTGTTCAATGAAATTAATCAGCCATTTAAGAAACTTGGATTTCAAAGTATGAACTCCACAGTGTAAGAAAATATAATGTCTAAGCATGGAAATAACAAACGATAAGGGCTTCACTTACAAACAAGTTGAAGCACACATCTAGTGATATTGATATTACCTGAAAACCAGTGATCTTCTTGAGATGGGATTTCTTTTTCTTGTTCTGTAAATCAATTGCATATTCCTCCTGCAACCTGTTTTCTGGAAAGGAGAGAATGAGAACAAACTATAAGAAGACAAGTTAATAATACACAGATTGGCAGTCAAGAGAATTCATGCATATATGAAGACAAGTTACCATGTTATTGTTGTTGTAGAGTATGTAAATATATGATTTACATTTATGCAGGGATGAACATCTATATAGGTGAATCAGTTAGTTGGGTAGAGGAATGCGTTAATAACAAAAAGGTTGTGGTTCAAATATTTCAAGTGGCATGTTAACTTGATATTGGATTAAGGATGGAAATCCAATCTAATAAAATTTTGGATCTAAGATATTAATGCCTGAAAGATCCCGAATTGAACCATATCTAGAAAAAGTTAATCCGATAGCACTCAGATAAAGTTATATCGAATCTAATTATGGCCCCATATCCCATAAAAATTACGTACTAAGGACTAAAGCATAACTCCATAGAGTGAAGTTGCAGAACCAAATTTCACCCAATTCTGTATGGTGAAATATATTGTTAATAGCATCATCTGTATGTGGGATTTTAGCCTTATATAATTAATAAAATCTACCCTCATACATAAATAGACTAACAAAGATTGATGTGAATTGAAGCACCAAACAAATGAAAATAGTGAACAAAAAACTAACATAAGCAAAAGAGAAGAAATTCTTGAGGGATACCAGAAGTGTTATATCGGTAGCAACTGCCCTTGTATGAACCAACTAGTGCACCCTTCAAAAGTCAACAAAAATCTTTCAGTAAAATATAGTAATGCAATATACTGTTTCTAAGAATAATTGCATATCCTGTATGTTGAAGGGTTAATGAGGTCATCAAACATGACTAGACCTGGCCATCAGGTGTATAACAAGCAGCAGTCACCATCTCATGTAGATCCTTCCAATCAACAACTTGGCGATCTGGAATACTCCACATGCGGACCTTATTATCTAGTGACCCACTAATGAAAAATCTATCATCTACAGGATTAAAGTGGATGCAGGTCACTGTGTCAAGGCAAATCCACAAAATTGCAACACAATTAGTAAATAAAAATGAAAAAAAAAGACAAACAAGTTGCACAACCATAAAACCACAGAAAACTTAAAAAGAAAGGCCTCACTAGATTTACCATAATCACTGTGTGAGAATGTTTTCAAGCAACAGTTGCTAGACATGTGCCACAGACGAACTGTTTTGTCCATTGAAGATGAGAGCAAATACTGAAAATGAGAAGAGTTAAGCTATAAGCTGTCATGGTAAAGCATTTCAGTAGTGAGAAGTAAGCAAGCATAGTTCTAAGAAAGCCAGAATGTTCAACTTCATGTATCCATTTTTCAAGGATGACACTGCTGGTGCTGTCAGAAGTGGGGCTTGGTGTAAGGATCAAGATGTCCCATGATGAATTTAATGAATTTTCTCATTGTAAGAGTTCCTCATACCAAAAGATTAAGAGTATATCATCATCAATCCATAATTAGATATGTGTATATTTTATTATCTTATTTATTTAAATCAGATAAATGGATCTCAGAAATTTCAAATTTTTTGGGGGCATGTTTGTAGCCGTGGAATAAAAATTGAATTGAGTCTCCATTCCAAGAGGATCACCATGTCCTAATTAAGAACATGTTAGAGGAAATAAAAGGATGGAATGCTTCCATCCTGAGCCTGTTTTGCAGTAATAGTGATAAAGACATTTCTTTACATGTTGGGTACCTCAAGTCCTTAAATAATACAGTTGTGGAAAACATGCACCATCAAAATATCAGTAGAACTTATCTACTGAAGCCAAACTTGAATAAGAAATTACAGACAAAAATGAGAAATTGCAAGAACCCTACCACCCTGATATGAAAATAAGGTTGAAAGGGAGAAAGACCATCTAAGGCCAAATTGTCAACAACCTCAAATAAAATTCTATAATATTGTATTCATGTGTTATGTCATAATATACAACATGTATCATATAAATTAAATTCATTTAAAATCATATATATCTTTTAGATAGGTACTCATAGATTTATATAACATGTCTTCAGCATTGCTCATCAAAAAAAGAAAAAAAAAAGCATGTCTATTTGTATATAACACAACATTTGTGCAATGGTTTAGTCCTTACAGTGCAACTCTTATAGAAATTTTATCATCATCCAGTGTGTTATTCAGTCCTTGCAACTTCTCAATTCTTGTAGTGATATACTCTTGTTTATGATCTCAGCCTGGGACTAATCAATCATGATACATGTTTACCAAAGAATTCAACTAATATATTTATTTATCCGCAATTTCATAAATCTATTCCTTGTATATGTGAAAGTACTGTTATTTTGAAAGTACAAGTAGCCAACAAAATAACTTCAACACTTCTAAAAGTTATGTTAGGGTAACAAAAAGGGTCATTTTCTGTTCTAACACAATGCTCCACTAGCCATGACAAAGATATTCCATGATGACAAAATTGTGATTGTCAAATTACTAAGTTGCAGTACTTTTGGATCAGTAATGATGAACATTAGAAAGTAAAGAATGAAGTAAAAGATTACAAGCAGAAAGTTTAAGTTTTCTAGTAAATTAAAGGCAGCTTAAAATTGGATTCTCTAAGAAGACAAGGCTATAACCCAAAAACAGCTCAAAGACATAAAATGATATGCTCAATTCCCATAAAAGAATATAGGTTCCCTAGGAAGGGTGGTCCTAAATTTTGCTTACTAGTTTAACCTCTTTGTCCCACATGAAAATACATGACAGTTGCAAATTGCCACAAATGGCTTCCCTCAACTGTACCCTTGTAGAAAAACTTAAACTGCTCATACGCTAAACCAAAGGGAAACTAATGGAGATCATTGGAAGAGAATATGAGTGGTAAGTTATTACTATGTTCACTCACATGGTGAACATAGTAATTTTAAAAAGGAGTACAACAAGGAGTTGTGGGCAAAGAACAAGCCCAAGAAGCAATTCCAATATTTAGAAAACAGCCCAAAACATGGATTGTCTCTGAATTCCTTGTTATAAGAAAAATATTCACCAGCATAGACAGACATACATGTAAATAGATTCATAGACCACTGCATCACATATTATATATAATATGAAAAATTTTTACCAAAAAAAATATATAATATGAAAAAGAAAACTTTAAAATAACTAGATAAATATATTGATATATGTATATACAAAAGCACCTAAATTATTTTGAGACTTAAAAACTAAAAAGAACTAACAGAAAGATATGACCCTTAACAGAGTGGAATGGGAGCGGTTTCACATAATCAATGCCAAAAAGGGATAAGACATTGTTAAGTTGAATTGAACTCTAAATAAGTAAAAGAGTTAGTTTTTCTTGACTGTCTTCACCAATAAATTTCTGATCGATCTATTATTAATAAGAAAACATAAAAATACAGACTACATAAATGAGCAAATACACATTATATGAGAACCTTAAAGATTAAGCCCTTTAGCAAGTTGATACTTTCAACAAAAATAGGATCTTAACCCTAATGAAGTTATCCCACAACCAGAAAAAGAAGATGATGTTTCTATGTTGTTTGACTATGATACCGGAAAAACTTGTAACCAATCAACCGATATCATAAAAGTGGTAATCAATCAGGTGGTATTTATCAATATACACAGGGGGCTTTGATTGGTCAAAGTCTTCTGGTATCATGTCTTTCCCGCAGCATAGATTTTTCCATATATGAGTCTAAGCTCATAGTTTCTAAAAACCCTAGAAACGAGCATTCAGATTCAATGTTGGTGACCGTGCTTGCACAATATTTCTTGCAGTTCGATTAATTTCAGAATCAGTCAGCAAAACCTTTCCTCGTTTACATGTATCTTGGTCAGTTCCCAAGTCAAATACTCAGACCATATATAACTAAAAGTCAAGGCTTCGTTTGACTCCTTCCAGCTGAAGTAGTTTGTCAAGTCCTAAAGTCAGCTTCTAATTAATGTAATAATAAAGTGGAAAGTGCTATTGAGTCAGTGTCTTCTTTAAGGGGCTGTTTTGTAACGGCTGCCATGACTGAGTTGAATGCATTCTTTGTAATGTTGACTTTCGTTCAAGACTAGGCTACCACTTTGTTTTTATACTAATTTGCTCATGAAATCTCATTATCATGGATATATGTTTGTTTAGTAGCAAGCTAAGCCACCTACTCTAACAAGAAAAATAGTGCTGCCAATTGTGTGCCTCCATGAGGTAAATATCAAATCAATCCCATTTCTGTTTCTTATGCATAGCCTTAGTTAGAAAACTATTAATGATTACAAAGTTAAAGGGTCTCGTGGTTATCTTAAGTCTGCTGAGAATTTCCTGAATGGCCAGGCACCATAAAGGGGTGAGGAATAAAGGCATTCAGGAAAAACTCTCTACCTTATATCAGTAAAGCTGTTTCCCAATTCATGGTTCTGGATATGAAAAAGGCTAAAACAACATTCTGTTTGATCAAGTTTATGGTTCCAGTCTTCCAGATATGAACAATCTAAAGCAAACTTCTGTTTCATCATGTTCATAGTTCCAGATATGCATAGTCAATTCACTGAATCCTCAATATAGGAAATTCATCTCTGACAAATAATTTTACACAACATCCTCCGAAAGTAAAACAGGTTATTCTATGCCAATGTTTATAAAGTGCCCAATAGGGGGGGATTTAAAAGGTCAACTAAACTGCATTTTGGTCCAAAGACCCAACTAAAGAAGGATGAAATTTTTAATAAAGTTTGGATATTTTTTATATAAAAATGCTACAGGAATGAGTAAGCTGAGATGAACTGATGCAATTTGTTTAAAAGGTAAATTAAAATTAGTCATTATACTTCTGTGCCCAATAATAATAGTTAAGATGAATGGCAGAAACATTTCAGCATTGACAGAATGTTTGCTAACCTGTGATTTAGACCAGGAAAGGTCAAGCACATCATCAAGATGTCCTCTAAAAGTGCAAATAGGTCTTTCTGAAAGTGCAAAGACAGTCTCTGGAACAATGACTTGGTCCAAGCTTATGGATTTCCGGCTAATTGATGTCCTTGCCCTTCTCCTCTTCTCCAAATGGTTATCCATACTAGATGACACCAACGTTGGTTCAGGCGAACCATTGACTAACATGAATGGATTTAAAATCCCGTCTTCTGGTCTCTCCAGCAGTAAATCACCCTTTCTCTCTGATTCCTGAACCTGCCATATGTGAATGACACAATCCTCACCAGCACTTGCAAGATATCGCCCATCCAAGCTGAACTTGATGCTCCAGATAGATCCAGTATGGGCCTGTATTTCTTGGCTCTTATACAGTGCACTGAGCTCTTTGCAAGACTTTCCATACTGCCGAACTCTAACCCTCTCGGGGCCATGAAATGTAACATCCTGGCTGTCGTCCGTGGCAGAGCTTGACCTCCTCCCACCCTTCTCCGACGAGGTATCCCTCTCATCGCTGCTCCGCCTCTCCCACTGGCCAGTCACGGTACTGGCAACATTCTTTATGCTCCTGAACCAGCTTCCTTTCTTCTTTGACTTTGATCCACCGCCAGCACTGCCATTTTCATTCAATTCCGAGTCATCGTTTTTAACATTCAACTCGTCTACATTTTGCCTCCGCATCAGTTCCTGAACAATGGGCGAATGCCCAACACACATCTCGAATTCCTCCCTAGTGAGCTGCCGGCCAGTCCCGACTTCTCTAAGCTTGTTCCACATGCCATCCTCACTGAATTCGTTGACTATAAACTCCTTTCCATTATCCAAATTCTTAATCGTGCAGAACTGATCAGGGACCTTACCGTTGCCACTATAATCCGAATCATCATCGAATTCCCTACCAGTAGTGCCAGCATTGGCCGACACAGGAGTCATGGAATTGAAGTTAGGGCTAGGGTTGATATTTGTGGGATCACTTCTGAAATTTTCCACCCTCCTAGAAGGTTTCCCGGTAGGGGGTTTATTGGGAGGGGCAACATTGGCATTAGGGGATCCGTTGCTTCCGCTGCTCCGGGATTTAGAAAGAAGAGGATTATGTACAAGGGGAACGGAGTTCCCGACAGACTGAATTGAATAAATTGAATGAATTGAAGTAGAAGAAAATGTGGAAGAATTATAGTGATCTGTGTTGGGCGGAGGACATAAGGAAGAGGTGCAATCGGCGGAACCGTCTGACTTGGATCGAACGATGCCCGAATTGGAATTACCAAGAGAGGAGGCATCCTGGTGTTGTTGAGTTGGTAAGCGATCGGCAGAAACAGATCTCCCGAACAACTCCGTTTCCTTGGTTCTACGGCCGGTGCCACCTTGGTGGTTGGGATCGTTGGAGGATTTTAGGCGGGAGAGGGAACGATCGCCGCTGAGGCCCATCTCGCGAAGGAGACGCTTGCGGCGTTCTTCGATGGAGGAGGGTTCGGCAATCCAGACGTCGTACTTGGAGACGACCGTGGGGAATCTGGGAAAGGGGGGATGGTCAGAAGCATAATTGGGGGAATTGGAGGGTTCGTCGTCTTCAGAGACGACGGCGGAAGACGAAGTGGAAGAGTGGGAGGAAGAGAGGATGCGGTCGAGTGACTCGTAGAAGCATTCCTCATCTTCTTCCTCGTCGCCGGTGATGCTCATCGTTCCGGCATTCGCATTTCCGACGGCAACAGCGAATGCGTCTGCCTGGAGACCCACGAACACCTATTTAATCGACCTGATCGTTTGAACAAGTTGTGTTTATTAAAAATAAACTGTTGAAGTAAATTCCTGAAGTCAGCAAGTATGAAGTTTTAGAGAGAGGCGGTGTCATAATAGTCTGAAAGTCGGAGACAGGGAAGCCATTACGATTACGCACAGATATTGTTCTTCTTTGCTTTTTCTTGTTATCGAGAGGCAGAGAGAGAGAGAGAGAGAGGGAGAGAGAGAGAGAGAGAGAAAGAGAAGACAAAAGAGAAAAGAAGAGAAGTGCAAATCCAATCGAAATTCGGGGAGGTCCGACAAGATTAACGAAAAGAGGTTGATGCCCAATGATCTCTCAGATCCGATGATGTTAGAGACTTTGGGCTTAGAGAGATCGAAGGAGAGAGAAAGAGAGACAGAGATAGACTTCACACTCCAGAGAGAGAGAGAGAGAGAGAGAGAGAGCGGAAAGAAAGGAACGAAGCCCTATGCAGAAGGAAGAGGGTCCGTGGTGCGTGTGTGTTTTGTAGAAGTTGATGCTGTTTTCTCTTTGTTGGGGTGGAAACATGGAACTATCAACCATGGAAGTGGTGGGTCGTGTCGTCTCCGCTGTTTGACGTTCCATAATCCATAATCCATCTCTCTCTCAATAAATTTTAAATACGTAAAATTAATTATTAAAATTTTCAAGAAATGAAGGGAAATGGTTTCGTTGTCCTCTCGTCTTTCTTCAACTTGTTCATTAATTTCGAATTAATTATTATTAAATCAAGAAGTTAAAATGTGAAAAACCGATGACAAATGAAGAATAATTTGGAAGAAAAAGTGAAGCCAAAACCGCAGAAGTTCACTTATTATTTACTACTAATAATAATTAAATAAATAATAATGTTTAAATTTCCCAGAGCCAGAAGGGAAACAGAAAAGAAACCCAAACCCGCCAGACACCAAAAGTAACACACTCACGTCAACCCGGGCCCCCAGGACCCGAGGTGGAAACCGGAAAGAAATAAGTCTGTTACTCTCTCTCTCTCTCTCTCTCTGGAAGTGTGGAGCCCTCCCTTCCCCAGTTTTGAGTTCCCCTTCCCTTGCTTGTGTCATACTCTCACTGTTAGATTAGATTAGATGGGACCCACTTCCATCCAATGAACGAGATACATTTATTTTTGTTTTACTACTATGCCCCGTCTGAACGGACAGGATCGCCTGATGGAGTAGAAAAAGTAGTTATATGATGTAGCGGGTTGTAGAGCCAATGGTAAGTTGGTAACGCAACGTAAAAGTCCAAAACTCCAAATTGGCTGGATTCATTATTTTATGGTTTTCTTGCAGGCCATGGGCTTGGGCCTATTTACGAAGCTTCGTAGCCCGTGGTGAAATTCAGAGTACACATACGCAGACGCAGGCCGTAGCTCAATCTCTGCCTCCACCCATCTGCTCTAGTGCTCTCTCCAATGATGTCCAGCCCATAACTGTTCAGTTTCCACTTTCCAGTTCCACTCTGAATGCTGACGCCCTACGGGCTACGGCTTGGTTGTTGGTTCTAATTGGTTGGGATGGGACCATCCTAATCCTACATCAATGTTCTCTTTTCAACTTCGCCGTTTATAATCACTCTCCACCTCCTCACCCATTACGCCTCCCTTAATATTTATCAACCACCCTCTTCTGACATTTGCAACAGAAAATTGATGTTGCAGAAATTTAAAAGCAGATCAGAGGAAATTAAAAGTAATTAAGGCTAACTTATTGGAAGCTAAGACCATACCAATACCAATAATCGTTTATTTACATTTGACAAGTTCAAATTTTGGGATTAATTTTAAGTGCTTATTTCCATTTTTTTTTTTTTTTGCCTATTTTGGTTTGCCACATCATTTTGAAAATACATATACTACTTCTATTTAAAATAAGTATTTATTTCACCAAATACTCATAAATATTTATTAGAATAAGCACTTATTTTTCAAAAGAATACAAAATAGCTTTTCCAAAATCAATAACAGAAAACGCAGTTGTTTTGTGAATTAATTACAAATCTGTGGGAGCAAATGAGAGAGAAGGGGGGAGGCTAGTAAGGACAGTATTGCAAAGCAATAAATGGTCCAAATATTTTTCGGGGCTTGAGACTGTAATCATGCACTACAACCGTAAAAGACCGAATGATAAAGGAGAAATATAGATGTGTACAAGTCCATCTGGCCCATTTCAATAGTGAATTAAATCCAATTTCCGTATTAAAATATAATATTAATCTGATGGAGGATTTTGTTTGACTTACTGAATGAACTTAAAAATAAAAAGGTTAATTGGTAATTGAAATTATCTTCTCTAAACTTTCGAATACAGTTGCAAGTAGACTCCCTACATTAGAATCCTCTAATAAAAAGCATGAAAATGTCTAAAATATCTATATAGTTACTTTTGACCAAAATTTTTATTCTTTGAATTTTTTCTTCGTATCAATCACTGCCTTAAGTTCTTCCAATCTTTTTTCTGAAATTGATTTATTTTTCAAATTTACCCTTTATATCTATCGCTCAAGGGTAAAACTGCAACTTGAAACTCTCATTTTTTGTTCAAAAAGTTTGTATTGCTTTTCTTCTTTTTTTTTTTTTGTAGAAATCAATTTCTATAATAACTGTATGGGTATTTTGGATATTTTCATGCCTCTTATTAGACGATTTTAAAAGAAAGGGTCTACTTGAAAGTTGAAACTGCATCAAAAAAATTCAGCAGAGATTATTGCAATTACCAGTTTACCACAAAAACTTCAAAGGAAGATTCAGCGATTTGTCCATAACAAAAAAAAAAAGAAGGTAATTAAGAAACCAAACAGATCCTTGCAAGTATAACGATGTGTTCAAAAGAAAGCAACTGAGCAAGTGAGATGTTACTAGACCTGGCAAAAAGTTGGCCCAACCCGACCCGAAAAAATAGGGTTAGGATCTCATATTTAGCAACCCGAATGTGAAATGACCCGACCCGACCCAACCCAATCCGAAAAATGGGTTGGGTTGGGCTGGGTCATCGGTCAACCCGCTGATCCGATTGTCAAGTCTAATTGAGATTATTTATGCATTGTTAGAAGTTTCCACTCTTTAATTTTTTCTATTTAGTGTTTACTTTTTATTATTTACTCTTTAAATTGTTAAATGTTCACGTTTTTATTTTATATTTGGAATTTTAAGATTAATTCTTTTAATTTTGATATTTTTCTTTATTTTTTTTTAAATTCAATTATTTTTTGGGATGACCCGAATTGACCCATGGGTCAACCTTAACCCAAACATTTAGGTTTAAGGCTAGGGTTTAGCATTTTAACAACCGACCCGACATACCTTAACTCAACCCGAACCTGACGCACCCAACCCGATTGCCAGATCTAGATGTTACTCAACAACATGGCAACAAAAAACACGCTAAAAGGGAAAAAAGTGCAGGGATGAAAAGTCCAATATAAGGTTAATTAAGAAATATAATCTTGAATTATTGCGGGTTTAGGGAGGAAAATTCCAAGAGACCCTCTGTTCACAACCTTATAATTAACCCAACATTACAACTCATTCCTGTACTGAAGGCCGTCGAGAGCATGCAGCTCTCTCTCTCTCTCTCTCATAAAACCCAAGGAAATTAAACGAAGAAACTGCTATGAAATCAGAGAGGGACGGTGGAGACGGTGGACTCACTCGCACCCAGCGAAGGAAAAAGGGGTTCGAGGGAAACATGGGATGCTCTCTCCTCAACCCATTCTATTTATTTTATTAATGCAACAGTCAGTCACACAGAAAATAATTGAAACAGATCATATAGGCTTAAGTGGTAGACTACTTCTTAGATCATTGGATGGTGGATGCCATTTGATCTTGAACTGGAACATATTTACATATATATATTTGTCAAATAATGCAAACATTGCATCTGTAACCCGAAATTTTTGGCGTGATTTTTGTCGGTGAAACCAAATTCTACAACTAATGAATGAGAATTTAGGGTATGGCGAGGTTGTTGGTCTAACCATCACTTTCACAGACTTTGGATTGGTGGACTTTTTTTTCCCGTTGACAAATATGTTAGACTGATGACTAATTGACTATTCTCACATCAAAGCCCAGTTTGAGAATCCATAAATCGGTGGGTGTATAAGAAGTTTCTTTTTGGGTCATTGATTAGAACACCCTCTATATTTACACAGCCTATCTTAAAATTTTCATTTTACTACAACACCTCCTATAATTTGCAACCTATTTACTTAATCGATATTTTTATTAAAAACTTGTTTGTTTTGCCATCTGAATATAGTAATATTATTGCATAAATTGAGTGGAAAATGTTCAATCATTTCAAAAGTACCCTTAATACTATTTTTTATAGAAAACAAAATTGATCAAAAATAGAGCCAAATAACCAAACAGAATGATTGCCCGTGTCTTATGAAGGGCAAGAATAATATTTTTATTTTTATTTTTATTTTCTTCTAATTAAATCTACTCAATTGGACATTAGGATCAAATCTTTTATTTAATGGATGGTCCATTAAATGAATGATTGCAAATTACCAATGGTATTTAAAAATAAACACAAAGTAGAGGATACATTTTTAATAAACAACCCTTTCTTTTTCTTTATACTTTTAATTTCCTCTAATACTACAAATGCAAAGAGTTATGTTAGTCTTTTTAAGCAAATAATTAAGTGGGTGGTTGGTGGGCCCAGCCCAAGGTTGGGCAGCATGGGTGACAATCTTGAGGAGTAAAGAGCCGGAGAACATTGAATCCGGTTTTGAGCATTGAATCCCAATAACCTTCATTCAAAAATCAAACACAAGCCGGAGAACCCCCTCTCCTCATCTCTCATCAGTTTCTTCAAGCTCTAGCTAAAGGCTAAGAAGCATCTTTCGTCACTGAGAAAGGGAGAATAAGGTACAAACATACAATAGTTCAGGCCACGTGGTGCACATGGATGGAGAGGACCCACAATTGGATTCATAATTAAATTCCCTCTTAGATCTATCATTAGGTGAGAAACTGAGAATGAATAAAAGTTTCAGCTTGAATATAGATAGGGTAGTTAGTAGATAGATGATGATCTAATTCTCATGTGAGGGTCCAGAACTCCTTTTATTGAATCCAGTGTTTTAAAAACTAACTTGGAATCGGAACCGCTTTGGCCACATTTTTGGGTCAGTGGTTTGAATTAATAGTTTATTCTAGTTCTTAAAAAAATAATTACAATAAAAATGGTTATAAACCATTATCTAGGTCGAAAGGATTGATGGTTTGATCATCCAGGTCAATATGTCATTGATCAAATCAATGGATCTTGGCCAATATGTAAATTAAGAGTAAAACGGAACCGATTGTGTAAATGGTTTTTGGGTCAAATGATCCAACCAATGGTTGAATCCAAATCCAAGAAATTAAAGAAATGTCAGTAGTGGGTTGAGTTCGGCAAAATCGATGGAATTGATTGTTGAACGTTTAAGGGTGGGTCCTCCATTTCCTTGTTGGAGGGCAAAGTGCCCTTAGCTTAGACTGGTATCGATGTTTCCTCGATGGGAGTGTTGTTTTAGACAATGCCTAACT